AGCAGGATCCAGATCTATGGTTTAAACCCACAGATCATGAAGTTACTACGGAGATCCAAAGGCCTAGCAAGATCGCGAAGTACCGACGGTCAACGACCATGGATCTGCTACCAGGAGAGTCCCGTGGTTACTGGAAACATCATTCGCCAGGTAAATGGTTTCGTCAGGCGAAGATCACAGGCAAGATCCACAATGAGAAGGCGATCTTACTCTTAGATACCGGCGCCGAGGTGTCCATCGTGGTCACCGCCTTTGCTCGTAAGGTTGGGTGCTATATCGACTCGAGTCGGATCCAAGACTGCGTGGGAATAGGAGATAATGTGTACTAGACCGAAGGAAGAACTCGGATAAAGGTGACGCTCGCTGGATCTCTGGTGTATTTCTTCGATATCTGGGTGGGCGATCTGACCGGCCAACAAGCTATACTCGGTATGGATTTCATAGTTCCAGCTGGGATCCGCCTGGATCTAGCCCATGGATCGATCAGTTCGCCGGACGAAGTCCGGATCCAGCTTAGCGGAAGGCGACAGCTCTATAGTGACAAAGCGAAGATCGTCAACGTCGGCCAATATCTGCGGATCCAAGCAGGAGAGTCGGTGGAACTACCATTGCGTCTAATGTCGTCGATCCACGACAAGCTGTGGGTCACGCGAGGAGATCAATGGGTGCCGACAATATCGGGTGGACCAGGGCGGACGAAATACATCTCGATCACCAATATTAGGGACGAGGTGTTGATCCTGCATCAAGACCAATGGATCGGGATCTGGTTGGCTGGGGATCATGTGCCGTGGATACCGGGTTTTATCTCGATCTGCTCTCGTCGTTACATGGAGTGGCAGAATCTAGCGTTAGAAGCTACGACCGACACCCGATCCGAAGAAATGGAGGTCTAGAGCCCGCGGATGCCCGCGGTATGTGAATATGAAACTCCGCGCGTAATACTCCAAAGACCGAAGGCAACGTTGATCCAGCGTCGGAAAGTCGAGGATCCAGGATCACGATATTCCTGACTGCCCACCTTCGGACGAGTCGCCGCCGGACAAGTCGCCGTCGGACAAGTCGCCGTCGGAGATGTGACCGTGGGATCTAGCGTCGTTCGCGAGTGAAGAGTTGGATCTATCGTCTATCGCAGACGAAGGCTCTATATCGCATGCCGCAACGGTCAAGGAGGCGCCAGAAGATCATGATCAAGTGACACCGGACATATGGGCGACTAATCCACTGGTGGAGAAAACCACAGACATGGAAGGCCTGCGAGAAGAAGATAGCCGAGATGGAATTGAGAACGTTAGCCTGGATCGACTACATTCGAGGGGGCAAGATCAAGGAACATCGCCGTCGGAATGCGGTGGGAGTCGGCCAACAATGATGAGTGTACAGCCTCGGACAGGACACGTGACTCGTGATCCATTGGATGATGAGTGCACCACGTCTATATCGCAGAAAACGGACTTGGATCCATCACCTATTGTGGAAGATCAACCAGACACTTCGGATCTGGATCTCACCTGGAACTCAGATCGAGATTATGATGAATGTGTGTATTACCATGAAGGAAGCGATCTATACGCCGAAGATGTCGATGGTCAGATGGCGGTGCTGCCCGAAGTACCTGTGACGACGGAAGATGTGAAGATCGAAGATATTCTGCTATGCGGATCTGATAATCAGACTCCAGAGGAAATCGAGCGGCTCCGCCAAAAGATCTGGAAGTTCCGACATCTCTTGATCGGTAAAGGAAATACCCTTCCGAAGGGAAATGCCCTTCCGCCGGCAGCTAGAGGCGTGGTGTGTGATATTGACGTCGGCGAAGCGAGACCCATCGCCCTCAAGTGCTGTAAGTTGCGGATCCAGTTCAGGGAGAAGCTGGCAGACCTGATCAAGGGTCTATTGTCTGCCAAGATGATCAACTACTCCAGATCACCATGGGCTTCCCCAATCGTGGTGATCATTAAGAAAGATGGGGTGGATATCAGGCTATGCATTAGCCTAACTCAACTGATGATCTACCCAATGCCCTTGATCAACGATCTACGCGAAGATCTGGAGTCGACACTTTGGTACTGTTCTTTGGACACGGCAAGCGGATTTTTGGGTGATTTGGGTGGTGAAAATGACAGATCGTGCCCGTTTGATCTCGGCTTTCAGTACTCCTTTTGGGCTATTTGAGTGGAATCGAATGCCTTTTGACCTGAAGAATGCGCCCCAGATCTATCAACGCATGATCGATAACGCGCTATATGGGTTCACCCGGATCCCGAAGTCTGAAGATCACGGAAGTACTTCGGATGTATTTGAAGACGGGGAATCGGTGGATCCAGGCAAGCCCTCGGTGCTTGGTCGCAGATCATATAGCGATGACATCCTGATACCGGCCAATAACTGGGATCAACTATGTGACCGAGTCGAGGGGTTGCTCGAAGCATGTGATAAGTGGAACCTGTCGATCAGTGTGGTTAAAAGTTTCTGGGGAATGCCTAAGGTGGAGTACCTTGAACATAAGGTCTCGTACAATGGACTGGAGGCGAATCCTAAAGATCTGTCGTCATTGACGGATCTAGCATTCCCTGGATCACTCAGAGCTATGCAGGGAAGTCTGAACTATTATAGCCGATTTATTGAAGACTACGCGATCTACGCGTCAGTTCTGTACGAATTGCGAGAAATCGACTTTGCTGCGATGACGAAAGAGGCTACCCAAGGGCGGATCCAACAAGTACTGGAAACAGAAGGCGCAGATCCAAGATCACAGGAAGATCGGGACGTCGATCATCGAATGACCTTGGATCTGGAGGCGCCTGAACCTTTGGAGGTAAACCCACGTTGGATCCATGCTCATCGGTCCTTCCACGTGCTCAAGACCAGGATTGCTACAAATCCGATCTTACGACACTTTGACCCAGATCGGAAAGCTACGGCGGTGGTGTACGCTAGCGATTGGGCCATCTCGGGAGCGTTGACGCAGGAATTTTGATGCAGGAATACGACCAGATCTACTACCCCGTGGCATTTGCCAGCCGTACACTGAAGTCGAATGAGCTAAACTACGGCATCGCGGAGAAGGAGGTACTAGCCCTTCTGAGGATCCTGGATCTGAATTACAATGCGTTGGTCGGGCGTCCAATCCATGTGTTAACCCGACACTCAACATTGGCGTGGCTCTTCAGATCCACGGCCTTACAAGGAATGGGCAGCTCTGTTGTCGCCTTGGACGCTTGAGATCACCAAGTGTGTCAAAGGAGAGGACGAGATCTTGGGAGCACTGGCAGTCAGTATTACGCTTAGATCAGAAATGGATAAGGCGTTAATCTCAATCGCTCCTAAAAAGGAGCCATGACGTAAGATCCAGGCTCCGATCCCCACTATCGGACGAGATGAGGAACTATATGTCGTTAGCTTTGATGGATCAGCCCGTGTCAAGAGGGGTGGAGGCGCCTACAGCGCGATCCTGTGGAGGCTGCCCGAATATAGAGTGGTGAAAGCTAGATTAGGGTATACCGAAGGCCTGACGGTGAATGAGGCAGAATACCATGGGTTGTTACTATGTCTGGATCTGTTGGAGGGTCTAGATCCACAACGTCTAGTGATCTGCGGAGACTCAAACCTGGTGATCCGACAAGTACGAGGAGAGATCGATTGTAAGGCGCCAGGTTTAACACTGTTACGACAGCGAGCCTTGGATCGACTATGGGCATGGCCAGATATTGAACTATTGCACGTCAAACGAGACTGGAATGGGAGTGCTGACGGCCTAGCAAGTGCTGCTCTACAACGGCAATGTGGGATCGAGATAGAGTCTGATGCAGAGATCCAGGATCTCATAACTTTAAATCGGTTGGATGGGATCCTGATAGTGAAAGCCGAAGAAGAAATCGTACAGATATCGGCGGTGACGACCCGATCTAAGGCTAGATGGGGAGTGCGTGTGGGATCTGATCCAGATTCCTTACGAGAGGAGGTCGTGAGGGAGCTACGGATCGACCGGATCCGACAAGCGCAGGACGAGGAGTCATGGATCAGGCGCTTGAAGAAGTATTTGGTCGGTGAGATCCGGGATCTAACACAGGAAGAAGCTAAGATGTTTGGATCTATCGCTATGAATTATGAGGTGGGTCAGCTGGATCTACTCTTCTATTGTCCGACAACTAAGGAAACTGCCGCAGATCGAGATAAGCTGATGCGACTTGTGATACCGGAGACTCGCCAACAGGACATTTTGCACCACTATCCTACGAGTCTGCAGGGTGGTCATCAAGGGGTCGATCGCACCTATGATCGGATCCGTGATCATTTCCACTGGAGAGGTCTGTATAAGAGCGTACAGCAATATGTGGGAGAATGTGTCGACTGTGAGACAGGCAAGGGCAGACCTAGGATCCAGGGCGAGTCACCTGGTAATCCTCAGGCAACATATCCATTTCAGATCATAGTCATGGATCATATACCCTCATTGCCTAGCGGCAACACGGAATTGCTGATCTTCGTGGATCTATTCTCAAGATATGTGATCGCCAAAGCCAGCGCCTCTAGATCCACCCAAACAATCGCCGAGACTTACGAAGAATGTGTCTTTCGTCGATTTGGCGCGAGCGAGGTGATCCGACACGATCGGGAGCCGGGCTTTATGTCTGATTTCTTTAAGTCGTTTAACAAGATCCTGGGACAACGTCAACGGGCTACTATGGCATATAGACCCCAAGCCAATGGATCCGCGGAACGTATGGTCCAGACAACTACCAGAGCTCTTAAGATGTACGTGGAAGATCTGGATCAACGAGATTGGGATGAGTATGCTGAACGACTCACCTTCGCGACCAATACCGCAAGAGATCGGATCCGAGGCGAAACACCTTTCTATATGATACATGGCTGGGATCCTAGACCCACCCTGGAAACGGTGATCCCGGTGGGAAGCACTCGCAAGCACGATCGAGATCCAAGAAGGTGGCGATATCGGATGCAGAAGTATTATCAGCAGGCCAGAGAACAGGTGACCAACGCCTACGAGAAGCGATCGCGGATCGGGCCGATACGCATAATGATCTAGCACGACCACATCCTGTAGACTCTGGATCAAGGGTCTGGCTATACCTAGATCGAGTGCGTGAAGGTTACGCGAAAAAGCTGGCGCACTTATGGCATGGCCCATTCCACGTTGCCGAGAAGATCGGAGAATACGCTGTGAGGTTGAAGATAGCAGGATCCGCATACAGCATTTTCCCGGTGGTGCATGTATCGAAGATCAAACTGATCAAGGTATTCCCAGATCGACCATTAGCTCGGCTGAACGGATCAGAAGAAGATCGGGTGGACTTCGATGAAGCTCTCCTACCTGAAGATAGCTGGATCCGAGATCGGGATCCGGATGAATACGAAGTGGAACGAATTTCCGATATGGGAACTGGCAAGAGGACGAGGTATGGCCGGATCTACCGAGAACTCCTGGTACATTGGCGTGGATATGAAGATCCGACCTGGATAGACGAGGCAGATTTTAACTGCGGTGCTCTTCTTTATGAGTTCTTGCGAGATCGCACTAACCGCAACCGTTTCGATGTGATGCAATCTCACTAGGAGCCGTGAGCGGGGGATCTACACTGGTGAGTAGGTCATTAGTGTGGCTGAAAGTCGATGGATCTGCCAGGAGGTTGCAGATCGGAGGACAGAATTTATGTGATTTTGTATATGATGATATGTTAACAGAGGATCGAAGTGGGGCGAGATTGATTCTGAGATGGACATGGAATGAGCAAGGTTGAATTTCGATTGTGGATCTAGGATGGTATTGTTTGAGAGATTATGGATCAAAGGGTGAATGGCAAACATGGAGGATATCCGTGAACACAGATCCGAAAAGAAATGACATGTATTACGCTTAAACGTAGATGGTCCGAAGAGAACGTAGGGAGAAATGTCAGGATCATGGCTGAGGAGCAAGATGTGGCGCGTTAGGGTTCAGGGCCGCCATGTTGAAGAATTTACCGGCGAGACGAGCGATCCGGCGAGCGGGATGACCCGCATAGTGGAGTCGGTAGTGGGTTCGCCATGGATCTGCGGCGTCGCACTCGGCGAGAGCGTCGATCAGGTCAGCGGGCTCACGACGATTCAGCTGCGGATCTGCAATGTTGGCACTACGAGCCTCGATCCCGGGATACCAAGCCACCTCATCAGTACGCTTGGGGAAGTGAAGAAAGTATGGATCCAACAGCAGATCCAGATCACACCAACCCTCACGCATCGCGATCAAGGAGAGGTTAAGATCTGCTTCCACCGGGCGCCCGCATGAGACCGACGGTCCTTCCGCTTCACGACGAAAGTGGCCAAATATGGGTCGCTGCGGATCAAGGAGGATGGAACTGGAAAACGATGCGTGGACTCCCAATAGGCGATCAGATCTTGGAATTCCGCCGCAGAATATCTCTTGATGAGGAATCCCAAGCGGCCATCGACTGTGATCTCGAACGACATGGGCTCGGGGATGTTAGCTCCAGTGAGAACATTCCAGGGAAGGGCTGCCATGAGATCACGGACATTCTGTCCCGTGATCAAGTGACTACAATATTGGCCAAATCTTAGAACGGCGGCTCCAGGAAGATGACTGGGGAAGATCCACTCAGGGCGAAATGGTAGCGCGCGAGACAGCACCTCCAAGGTCATTGTCATGATCGTCAGAGTGTTGATCCGCTGGATCACCCACGGATCCACGTCCGCAATGTTGTACTGCCGAGTCTGCTGGCGGCCAGCAATATATACGTTATCGGGGGCGAATAGACGTCGGGGAAGCATGGTAGAAACAAGGGGCATTCCAGCCGGATCCGCCGGAGATCCGCCACACCCACCACCGCTACCGTTGCTCGAGCCGTCACCGTCGGAATCACAGCCGGATCCAGGATCCCCAGCGCCTCCAGCTCCGGTGCGCCGAGGAGCAGCATGATCGCGACGCCTCTGCTCGGATCTAGATCGAGAGAGAGCCATAAGCGTCTGAGCTTGTAACATGTCGTTCAGTGATTCGTCGTCATCGTCGTCGGCCGAAGTGTCGGCTTCCGGCTCTTGATCTTCTTCCTCTAGACCCGTGTCCTTAGAGAACTTAGGATCATCCGTTGAGCGAGACTTGGACTTAGGCTTGGGTTTGGCCGCAGGATCCGAGCTTGCTGGAGTGTCGGACTTCTTGGATCTAGCTTTCTCATTAGATAAGTAGCGCGGCTTGGGGGTCGAAACAGGACTCGCAGCCCCGCGATCCTTCTCCAACAACTTATCGAGTAGACGATGGTCTGGATCGGAG